AGCAGGAAGAGTGGGTAGCCAGCCCAGCTCCAGAGCCCCTGCTGGCCTGGGCCCCATGCTTCTACCACCCCGCTCTGGGTCCCTGCTGGCCCTGGCGCACTGGTCCAGGCCACATGCAGCCACCCAGCTGTTGCTGCAGTCCATGCACCCTCTCGTTACCCCTTCCCCCGCACCTGCTTCTGCTTTCCTGCCCATGGCTGCTGCTGCTCTGGCACTATGTGGTTCCTGACTGCAGCATCAGAACTGCAGCAGCCAGCCCAACCCTGAGGACTGGGGTGATCACCTGTGGTCCTCCTCCCCCTTCTTATCTGACTTTCCCTCTGGCACAGGAAGGCAGGAACAGCCCCAGGGTCCCAGGCCAGAACCCTCTGCTTCAAATGGGGCTTCTGGCTGCAGCGGGGGGGAAGGTCAGGGCCTTGCTTCTGCTGCTGCTTGATCCTGCCAGTGGTTTCCCCTTGGTCCTATTGCCCGTGGCTCCTGTCATCTTTGACAGACAGCCAGGGACAGATAAATATTACTTTTCTAAATTTTTTAGGGTCCCTGCAGGCCAGATGCAGCCTACAGGCTGTATTTGGCTGCCCCTGCTCTAAAACTTAATTTTCCTGTCTTTGAATACAGTGCAAAAAGCAAGTGATAGTTGACCAATTACTACTAGATTAGGTGTTTCCCAATTCCAATTTACCATTTTTAGTTGTTTGGCAATTGCAAATATAGTGAATTAAGTGCTTCTCTGTTTTCCTTTTTTTTTTTTTTTTTTTTTAGTGTTTCATGTTGAGGTTGATCTTTCATACTGTAAATTCTGTAATTTCCAAAACTGTCTCAAAATGAGCAAAGACACAAGGATGTGATACAAGGATGACAGCCACAGGCGCAGTGCTAAATACATGTGTGTATGTAAGCACATATGCCAAGGGGCCATATACAGACTTGAAAAAATATTTGCCATAGGTGTCTGAAACATGCCACCTGTGCATCTCTCTCCTGGTTCCTACTTTGGTATGCGAGTGACATCAGAAAAGTATTCTACAAAATGGGAATTAATAAATTCTTGTTAGACCCTTTACTGCTGGAGATGGTATATGGCAAAAAGACTTTTCCCTCCGTCTGTGACTCATGTACCTCCTCATTCTGAGATTGCAAGCAGTAATTAGGTCTGATCTTGATACATGATCTCCCTGTTTAAGTTGATGCTGGGTGCTTCATATAAGCACTTCTCCTTCAATGAACTCTCAATGACAATGGCATCATCAGCATTCCCTCAGAATGTCCTGCAAAGAAAGCTAATAAGAGAGGCTCTCTAATGAGCAGCTTGTGTCCTTTGTCTTTCCAAGAGGAAGAGCACAGCCTCTTACAGCAATCATAAAGTGCGTCATGAAGAAGTTGGGCATCTTGCCACAGCTTATTGCCTTCTTTTGCATTTGTCACCTAGAAACTCTCCTCTGCTGGAATGTCAAAGACATTTCATCAGGAACAAGGCACACGTCATCAGGTAAAGCAAAGAAGCGACTCATTCTGAATAAGGGTGCAAAACCCAAATTTGTGAATGAAAATTAGAGGGTGGTTTTTAAGAGACTTTTAAAACTTGTCCAGAACTACGATTCTGAAATCAGGCCTTAATAAATTGCTTGAGCTTATTTCACTTGCACGACATCAGTGTGAGACAACAGCACAATGGGGGTTTGAGTAGATGACTTTTCTTGGGGAATAATGATGCTGGACCGGCCATATTATCATATTCTATTAATAACAGTATCAACCAAAAGAAACAGTTATGAATGAGTGCTCAGCCTGTACTGGTGACCAAGATGGCTCATAATCTATCATTTATTAATAGTGACAAGGAAATTGCAGAAAAAGATAAAGTCCAAGATTGATGATCCATTATGGAAATTATTTTGCCCCTCTTCCAAAACACCTTGTAATCCCTTCAGTTAAATACAGACAGTCAAAAAGCCCAAGGCTGAATTGATTCAATCTTTGGAGGTTAGTCCTTTAAGCTGTGTAGATTGAACCAATAAGCAAGTGAACAGACATTCAATTTGATTCTGGAAATTCAGCCACATGCCTGCAGTGGCTCAGGCCAGAAGCCAGGGAGCACTAGAGCATGCCTCCTTGCTCAGCTGTAGCAGACAGCCTGGGCCAAAGCTAGCCCACCTACCCTGTGAGGGGGTGTGTGTGACAAAGGGGCTGACTCGTGGTCAGTTACCATACTGACCACCCCTCTGTCTAGGGCTGTCTCCCCTGTCTTACCTGCCACAACTTGTTGGGATAAACCTGATGTAGTAAGCGGGAGGTTGCCCATTTTAATGCCCCAATGCCAAGGGGTTTACATGCCACTCCAACCTTTATTTACTGTGCCCCATGCTTCACAGATGACATGCACAGTGCCTCACCATGACCTGTTCTCCAGGGTCTCACTCCCCACTGGAGCTCGCCATCACTGTGTTGCCACACTATGCACCAAACTACCCGCTCTGACTTCCCTGGCCCTGTATGGACTGCTTTCAGCCTTTGGCTCTGCTTGCTCAGGTATCCTCAGTTGTGCACTGCATGCCCTCTCACAAAGTCCCAGTTCTGCCTTTGGCCCTTAACTCTCGTCCAACCCCTCACTGGGGCTACACCTCCACCTTTCACTGAGGCACTCTCACTAGGGCTTCCACACACAACCACCTTTGTACAGCCCTTCAGGTTGCCCCTTGCAATCCTACTCTGCACCACTGCCTCGTCACTGTCAATACTCCACCTGCTATGCTGGGGCCTTGGATTCTTACACCCTCTGGGCTCAGGTGCCTTTTAACAGGCATGCCTGGCCCCACTACCTTTGGCATCTTACATTCCACAGACTCAGGTGCCTCTCACTAGGTGTGCCTGGCCCTACTGTCTGCTCTATGCTTGACTAAGTTGTGGGGACCCAGGTTATAAGGCTCCCCTACCTGCCTTTCCCTTGGGGAGACAACTGGCCTGGCATTTCTGGGGAACTGCCCTACCACAGGCAGTCTTACCAGGCCATCCTTCCCCAGCAGGGTGCAGTTTTCAGTCATACCCAGGACCAGGAGCCTCCTACCATCCCCATAGCTCCTGCCCTTACCTCCACAATGTTCCTGAGCAGCCAGGCAGTGTCTTCATGTCTGCCAGCAGCAGACTACTGGATCAGCCTTGAGGGCCTTGATCTAAAATGGAGGCTGCTCAGCCCCCTCCTCCAATCCCAGGGCCCTCCTGAGGTCATGTGACTGCCTCATTACTCTGGCATGCACCTGCTGGCTGCCCTAATGTTTACTCTTGCTCTTAAAGTGACAGGCACCCAAAGGTGCTTGGTCACAGGGGGGTTGTGGGGGAGATGCAAAGGATTCTGGGATGCTGGAGGACTATGAGTTAACTTGAATCTGGAGGGGATCTGGGACAGAAGTTCAATAAACCAATTTAATCTAAATCAGTTAAGTCTGATACTACATCCATCCAGGCTTATCTTAAACTGGTTTCAGCAATTTTGAAAGTGGTTTATGTAAACTTGGAGAGGTTAAATCAGTTTCAAAATGGCTGCCTGATTTAAACTTAGCTGTCCCCAGTATCGACCTTACACTTACAGACCTGGTCTCAGTGACTGAGTAATCAGTCTAAACCTATAACTGTACAGAAGTTCCATGCACACACACCAGTCTAAAAATTGCAGAACCTGGTTTAAGATAAACCCGGATCTATGTAGTTAGTATCAAACTTAAATGATTTAGGTCAAACTGGTGCATGGACTTTCTGTACACTTTCCCTGCACAGCCTGGAGCTGGGAAAACTCAGCCACTGGCCCCAGCCTCAGGGCTGCTCTCCCCACCCCCCCACACTGGTCTATTTTTGGTCCCCCACCTCGAGCAACTAACCCTCTCAACCTCCCACCTGCAAGCTTTTATCAGCGTTCGCCACTGCCAGAGCCCCAGTGGGGGAAGGGACAGGAGGGATGAGGGTGTAGGTTTGCTGAGGTGGGGGCGGGGGCTACCCCTCATGGGTTGTGCCTGCCCCCACTATCCCATCTTGTGGTCACGCCTGCTCCCCTAACCCACCCCACCCGTGGGTTGTGCCTGTTCCCCCCACCCCTTGTGGGTCATGCCTGCCTCCTCTACTCCACCCACAGGATGTGCTTTCCCTCCCAACACCACCCACAGGTTGCATCTGATCCCCTCACCCACAGGTCATGCCTGTCCCCCCACCCCTCACAGGTCATGCCTGCCCAGCCCCCATTTGTTGCACCTCCCCAGAGGCAGATTAAGACTTTTTGGCACGTGGAACTCGGCAGCATCTAAACCCCAAGCCTTTGGGCTTGAATCTGCACGTAGGATGCCTGCCAAAAGATTTGGAAGCATCTGAAGTCCCAGGCGGGGGTGGAGGATGCTTGCCGGTAGCAGGGCCACATATGGTTCTTGGAGGACTCATGGATTGGAATTGATTTAGCTGATTTGACTTGGGACACAAAAAATTTTCCGTAAAAAAAAAAATCTGGGGAAAACGTAGACATCGGAGGCCCCTAATTAGTAAAGGCTCCTGGACCTGGGCTCCACTGGCCCATGCACTAAGCTGCCTATGCTCTTCCCCCATTTCCTGGCATATCCCCAA